CCCGCCCCCGCCCCCGCCCTCATCCCCACAGTGGACCTAGGAATCTCAGAGGTAACTAGCAGGTGAGCCTGGGGCAAGTATGAGAATTGCGGGTACGCCTCGTCGAGCCGAGTGCATGGGACGTGGTGAGTCCAAGCGCGCGTGGAGACAGCTGCGATCCTGGTAGAGGCCACCTGGGTCCGCAAGTCCCTAGGTAGGGGGTTGCACCGAACCCCGCGAGGTGATCGGGTCCCTCTACGGTTCCAGAAAGGTTAAATGCCCCTCCCTCTCCCTCGGGACAAAGGCACCGAAACCCCGCGCGCCCTTCCCCCACCTGCCTGACTCCTTTGGGGCGGGGCTCCCCTCCCCCTCACCTACAGGAGCAGACCCATCTGCTTGCGCCGCCATTAAGCCCCTCTTGGGTGTGCTGTCCCTGTCTTCGGTAGCCAGGCACGTCCGAGCGGCCACGTCGGATCTGAGCACCCTCGGTCAGAGCTAAGAAAGACGAGGTAGGGAGAGTATCCCTCGAGATCATAAGCTCGGTCTCCAGGGTGAGGCTGCAAATGAGGGAAGTCGAAAGTGGCCCACGCCGATCAGGCGCAAGCGGTGCACCGAGACCCAGGGCGGGGGGGTGGGGGTGGGGGGTGTATGGTAATGGGGAGCCACAGCACCGCGCCGAACAGAACTGATTCCCCTGACGCCAACAACCTGAGAATGGGACCTGAGGGACACAGGTGCAGCCTGGGTGGTGGTGGAGGAGGTGGCTCCGGGATCTGAACTTTCTTAGGAAAGCTGTGTTCTAGGAGAAATGGTAGCTCGCCCTTTGGTCCGAAATTCGCCATATTTCCAGCCTTGAGGGTGTGCACCCTGACCCCCTAGAAGTGGGGGGCCACAGGGGGTATCTAGAGAAAGGAGCTGGGTGAGAGTGTTTGTTTTGTTCTGTCTCATGCCCCTCCAAGTTGGGGTGTCCTCGGCCTGGAAGGGCCTCAGGCTACTCCCTGGAATTTCGAGATAGCTGTGGAAGGTAGGGAGAAAGCCAGGCCTAGGATTTCACTGACTAGTATCCACCTGAAATGGAATCTGGAACTGAGTTGATGATCCTTCAGGCCTTGGGTTGTGGGAGGAAGTTTGAGATCTCATTTGAGCGTTGAACATAAGAAAGTTTAGGCCTGAAACTTGTAGCTATATCTGGACCACTCAGAACCTACACTGGACATTTCGCCCCTCTTTGGGCCACTTTGCTCACCTGATAAAATATACTGGAGGGGCTAGGGATGTAGCTCCGTGGTAAAGTGCTTGCCAGATGTGCCTGAAGACCTGAGTTCAGTCACCAGCACTGCGTTAACTGGGTGTGGTGGTACAGGCCTGTCATCCCTGCTGCTCTAGGAGGTAGAGGCTGGAGGCTCAGAAGTTCAAGGTCAGACTCAGCTACAGAGGTGGAGTTCAAGGCCAGCCTGGGCTACTTAATTCCTTCAATAAAAATAAAATATACCTGAAGGCATCTATCTCTGTGGACTGGTCTGTGCATCAGCTTTATCTTATTGTCATTTGTACCCAAACAACCCATAATTTTGTGCTTAACCTTTCACATGACTAGGGAAGAATCACATGCTTATTTTGCCAGTGATTGACCCAGGGAGTGTGTCCTCACCACATTGTGTGACATAATAGCCAACTATAGGGTATGTGGTACTAGTGTCACAACTGGGCCTGCCACTCCTTAACATTACTCTCTCTTTCTGTCCTCTATGACATACAGCCTCCTCGACCTCACCATGGCCTCTGCAGGTTTACAAATCCTGGGGATCGTCCTCACCCTGCTGGGCTGGATTAATGCCCTGGTGTCCTGTGCCTTGCCCATGTGGAAGGTGACTGCCTTCATCGGCAACAGCATCGTCGTGGCCCAGACAGTGTGGGAAGGGCTCTGGATGTCCTGTGTGGTACAGAGCACTGGCCAGATGCAGTGCAAGGTGTACGACTCTCTGCTGGCACTGCCCCAGGACCTACAGGCCGCAAGAGCCCTCTCTGTCATCACCCTCCTGGTTGTCCTGATTGGCCTGCTGATCTACCTCGCCGGAGCTAAGTGCACTACCTGTGTAGATGACAAGGTTTCTAAGGCTCGCCTGATGCTCACCTCCGGGATCATCTTCATCATCTCAGGCATCCTGACCCTCATCCCTGTCTGTTGGACTGCCAACTCCATCATCCAGGACTTCTACAACCCCTTGGTGGCTGAAGCCCAAAAGCGGGAGCTCGGGGCCTCCCTCTACCTAGGGTGGGCAGCCTCAGGCCTTTTGCTGCTGGGTGGGGGGCTGTTATGCTGTTCCTGCTCCCCTGGAGGGCCCCGGGGACCTGGCCATTACATGGCCCGCTATTCTACATCTGCTCCACATTCAGCCTCTCATGGGCCATCTGACTACCCCACCAAGAATTATGTATGATGCTGATCAGGGAATGAGGCTTTACTGGCCAGGGTGTCTTAATGCCCATGAGCTGATGCCTGAGGTATCTTTGGGGTTGGTATTTTTTGTTTTGTTTTTGGTTTTCCCAGTGATGGCTATCGAACCTAGGGCCCCACACATTTGGTATGCAGACACTCCATATCATTGAGCTATAAGATAAACCCTGCCCCTGGGGTTGGTTCCTTCATCTTGCTTTTGTGATCAGGGTCTTATGTAGCTCCAACTGGCCTCCAACTCTAATTCTCCTGTCTCAACCTGAGTCCTGGAATTACAGGTGTGTGCCACCATACCTGCCTCTTATCTTCTGTTTTTGTTTTTAATCTGGAGAAGGGCAGTCTTTTCAATCCAAGTGATAACTAAGTCAAGATCCCTCCCTCCTGCCCAGCTCTGCAGTTGGCATTTCTCACCTTTAGATAATGAAGCTGGGGGTGTAAATCTTGAGGTTCTGTATCTTTTCACTCTTGGGCCTCTGCTGTGACACCTGTGTGAAAGCTGTTTATGGCTCTGGCCTTTGCAATCACAAGGTGGACTGTCCCAAGAGTTCCTGCTGCTGTTGGAGGTTGGACTTCCCTAAACTTGCAGAAATAGACACACCTCTTCCTGGTCAGATCTTTCCTCCCAGCCCTGAAAGGGCCCGTAATAAGTTAACCAAAGAACTGTCTATTCCAAGTCTTCCGACTTTTGACCCCTGCATCCCATTTCCAAGGTTATGATGTATCCTCCCCAAGTCCATTCCTGGCTATGCTGTACATTCTCCAACCTTGCACACTTTTGCTCTTTCCCTGTCCACCCAATGTTTTACTAAATAAAATGAATTTTATGATGTGCTTTTGATGTTGCTGGGGGCTGGGTGTCCAGTTTAGCTGAGGGTGTGTGTGGCATAGGTCCATAATCCTTTGACTTCAAGAATTCCTGACTTACCCCACAGCCTGAACCAGGGTACACACTGGATAAAACCTGCAGCATCCTAGGGAAGTCTTTCATGGATGAGAGGAAGACAAGTACAAATGCTTTTATTCACAACATATAACGGGGTAAGGGGCAGGGCAGCTTAGATGGACTAAGGTGGTGGTTGGGCTAGGGTACTGTCCACACTTTATTCTGAAGGCAAGGAGGGTGAAGCCCTGGTTTCTGGGGCAAGGGATATCTCAGGAAGAGGACAGCAAAATGTAGCCATAACCTGGGAGGCAGGGATGAGCAAGGGCAACCAACAGCTGTCTCTTTCTCAAGGTTGCAAGCACTGAGGAAGTTCAGCTCACACCAGACCAGCTGAGATGTCCCGCAGCCAGTTCCTAACAACCTGCAGAAATAGGCTTCCATGGGACACAGGGCAGGGAAGGATTGGTTACTGAAGCAAAGGTTGTAGCCCAGTGCTGAAGGTCCAAGCTCTAGAAGGAAGCCTCAGCTTCACACATAGTCTCTCTTATCCAGTCCTGAAGCCCCTGAGCGGGAGGGGATGGAGTAGCCCAGCCTAGGTCCTCGAGGCCGCTCATAATGGGATGGGGGACAGGTGCAGCAGAGGAGCCCCCCACCTAGCATGAGCAGTGCAGCTGCTGCCCAGCCCAGGTAGAGGGAGGCCCCCAGCTCCCTCTTGAGGGCCTCAGCCACCAGTGGGTTATAGAAGTCCTGGATGATGGCATGGGCTGTCCAGCAGACAGGGATGAGCACCAGGATACCCGAGAGAAGGAGGAGGACCCCTGCAGTGAGCACAATGCGCGCCTTGGCACCTTCATCCTCCACACATGTGGTGCACTGGGCACCCGTAATGGCCACCAGCAGGCCCAGCAAGGCCAGCAGAAGAGCGACGACACAGAGGGCTCTAGCAGCTTGTAGGTCCTGGGGTAGCGCCAACAGCGAGTCATACACCTTGCACTGCATCTGGCCTGTGCTCTGCACCACACAGGACATCCACAGCCCCTCCCATACTACCTGGGCCACCACGATACTATTGCCAATGAAGGCGGTCACCTTCCACAGCGGTAGGGCACAGGACACCAGGGTCCCAAGCCACCCCAGCACGGCCAGGGTCATGCCAAGGAGTTCAAGACCAGTTGAAGCCATCTGTCCCTTGGTTAGGTCTTCTCAGTTCTCAGACAGCCCGATTCACTTAGAGCAGAGTTGGGAGTATGGGCGAGGGCAGTTCTCAGGCAGGAAGGGGATCTGTCGCCCTCAGTCCAGGACAGTCCTCACATCTATCTGTGGGCCTCTCACACATCTGATACTCACTGAATACAAACAAGTCTTTCGGTCTTGTTCAGCTGGGTATCTTGTGTTCCCTTGGTAGCCTGTTGCCCATCACAACCCTCAGACCTGCTGTGGGCTTGGAGCAGTCTCGTCCCTCTCCGCTAGCCACTGAAGTCCTCACAGCTCAAGTCTTCTCTCAGCTGGCACACTGGGCTTCTCAAAACAAGGAACCCTGAGATGCTACCTGGGGCATCTGAAGGCGCTGGCTGCAGGCGGGGTTTTAAGGCCCAGGCAGGGGAGGAGCCTAGCCAAAGGCCTGGAGGTTCTGATTGGATAGCAGAGCCAGTGCAATGGGGAAAAGGGAGTTCACGGGATGGGGGCCCTCAGGGTGGGGTACCCAGACCAAGTAGAGACTAGAAAAAGAACATCCCTTCATGTGAGAAACAAAGGACAAAAGAATGGAAAGGGCAGGACATGCTGAGAAAAGGGACTAGGGAAAGCAGTAAGTGGCTTGGGACAGAGAAATGAGGCTTGAGCCTGCCCCTTCTCCTTTGCTGCCCCCCTAATCCACTCTTTGATTGTGAAGCAAACATGCCTCTTCTCTCATTATCCATTACAGTACACCACCCTTTCAGGAGTCTCAGGAATTCGATCTGTCTCCAGTCTCAGCTCAGTGGCCCAGGCAACTCCCCTGGGAGAAGCCCTGCCTCCACAGTTTCCCAGGCAACAGGTGCCTGGCATCCAGCTCAGGTGGCATCACCTAGACAACGGCCTAGAAAACTACTCCCCTCCAACACACACACACACACACACACACACACACACACACACACACACACACCTCAGCTCAGGTGTGCCTGTTCCACCCCCTGCTGTCGAAACCAGGGGCCTGAGCCAAGCTGCTGAAGGTCTCTAAGTGGCCTGATGATAAAGCTAGTGCTTCAGAAATCGAGAGGGGAACAAAGAGGCCCAGGGCAAGAAGGGGACAACTGGGACCCTAGCCAAGGATGTTCTTCCCCATACTTGCATGACTAACCAACCCAAGCCTAATCAAGACACGAAAGAGGTGGGCAAGTGCGTGAGGCCCAAAGGACTAAAATGTCCTTAAGCCAGCCTGCTGCCTTCCAGTCCATAGAAAAGACCCCTGCCAGTCGGTGACTCCTTTCATGGGGTGCAACTTGATCTCAGTTCAAATTCTGATCCTACCAGAGAAGATCATGGAAGGCCAAGCTTCTTAACTTCCTTGGGCCAAAGACCCATTTGAGAAATTTTAAAGGGCCTGTATTCCTCATGGGAACACAATCCTGTCAACATGTGCATATTTCACAGATGTCTTGCAGCTCATGAACTCCCTCAAATCCCTTCTTGGAGGCTAAGAGCTCCTGAGGACTATTTTTATTATTATTATTATTTTATTTTTTACTGGTTTTTTTTTTTTTTGGCCTTTTTGATACAGAGCCTCCCTATAGCCCCCACTGGCCTGGAACTCACTCTGTAGTCCAGGCTGGCCTTGAACTCACAGAGAGCTCCCTGCCTCTGCCTCCCAAGTGCTGGGATTAAAGGTACCACCACACTCAGCCATGGGCTATTATTTTTTTAAAAAAAGAAAGAAAGAAAGAGAGCAGGGGAGGGAAGGGAGAGACAGAGGGAAGGAGGGAAGAGAGAAAAGGTCCGGGCATGGTTACAGTTAATTCCAGTTCCAGCACTCCGAAGGCTGAGGTAGGTAGATCTCTGTGAGTTCCAGGCCAGCCTGGTCTACTAGAGAGTTCCAGGCCAGCTGGGGCTACATAAAGAGGCCCTGTCTCAAAAACAGAAAGAAAGAAAAAAAAAAGGGGCTGGCTGGTAACACAAACTTTTAATCCCAGCACTTGGGAAGCAGAGGCAGAGGGACCTCTGTGAGATTGAGGCCAGCCTGGTCTACAGAGCAAGTTCCAGGCCAGCTGGGGCTACAGGGAGACCCTGTCTCAAAAAGACCAGAAACAGTCTGGCCTGGTGGTGCATGCCTGTAGTCCCAGCACTTGGGAGGCAGAGGCAGGCGGATCTCTGTTGAGTTCAAGGCCAGCCTGGTCTACGTAGTGAGTTCCAGGACAGCTGGGGCTACATGGAGACCCTGTCTCAAAAAGGCCAAAAAGAAAAGGACCAAAAACAAACAAAACAAAAGATACCCAATGTCAACTTCTGGCTTCCACATGTACAAGCATGCATCTGAGCTCACACATAGGCACACACAAAAAGGCAGGGCATGGTGGCTCATGCCTGTAATCCCAGCACTCTGGATACTGAGGCAAAAGTAAGATCACCAGGAGCCTGAGGTCAACCTGAACGACAAAGTGAGACTCTTGTCTTTAAAAAAAAAAAAAAAAAAAAAAAAAGAAAGAAAGGGGGTGGGGGCAGGGTGCTGGAGTGATGGCTCAGCAGTTAACAGCACTTGCTATTCATGCAGAAGACCCAGGTTCAGCTTCCAGTGCCCACATCTAACAGCTCGGCTCACAACCAGTTTCCTCTAACTCCAGGTCCAGGGGGTCTGACACCTTCCCTCCTTTGGCCTCCTGGGCACCTGTGCACACTTGTTGCACATACATACATTCAAGCACACACACTTAAAATAACTTTTTTAGAAAAGAAAAAGGGATAGATATGAGTAAAGTTCATTTTAGGAAATGTCACCATGACACCAATAATTTTGGACAACAAAAACATGCTAACAAAAAGGGAGAGACTAGAGATATGACTCTGGTAGAGCACTTGCCTGGTATGCACCAGGCCCTGGGTTCCATACCCAGCACAGAAAAAAGACCAAAGAATAGGCATGAAAAATCCCTTCCCTTCACCTTTTTCAAAGAAGTAAGGGAATCCTTGAAGGTACAGGGCAAGACAGTCTCTCATCTAAAGTAAACACTAATGGCAGCAGGGTTGAGAGGCATAGACAGACAGACAGACACCTGGTTGGAGCATTAGGGGCTTCTCTACCATGTTTTTAAGACTTATAAAGAATTTTTTTCTATGTGTGTGTGTGTGTGTGTGTGTGTGTGTGTGTGTGTGTGCGCGCGCGCGCGCACAAGCCAGAGGACAACTTGCAGAAATTTGTTCTCTCCTTCCACCATGTGGGGCATGGGGATGAACACTGGTCTTCAGACTTGGCCACAAGCACCTTTACCTGCTGAGCCATTTCACTGTCACATATTTACAAAGGGTTCTAGCTTCAAGAATGTTTGGGATTAGCACCTAGGAGTAGAAGCATCGCTTCCAGGTATAGGTTTTTAGCACTTTTCATCATATTACAAAGGGATCTGTGACTCCCAAAAGTTTGAGAACTTCCCTCACCAAAAAAAAAAAATGCACTGAGGCCAGTACCAGTCACCTAGTCTGAAAGGTAGGCTGAGACCACCCAACTTCTTTCCGTTGGGAGGGGCTCCACAGATCCCAGAGTAGGTGGAGGTCTCTTTCCTTTTCTTAAAGCTGATATACTCTTATTATATTGTGTGTGTGGCATGTGTGTATGTACGTGGATACCTATGTGCCACATACAAGTGTAGAGGTGAGAGGACAAAGTGTAGGGGTCAGCTCTCCCACCATGTAGGCCCTCAATATTGAACTCAGGTCCATGGAGATCCCTTCTGCAGTTTTAGGGTCAGAGCTAGGAGGCTGTGCAGGTCAGTGGACAGTCTCTACCCCTCCAGTGATGGGGTCAGGTTTGTCCAATTCATCTACCTCTTGGTGCATGGATTTCACAGAGTAGTGTAAGGGGATGAATGACAAGAAGGGCAAATAGCAAACAGCCTGTCTGGGGGCTCCTTCTGAAGCCTTCCAGGGGCCTCCAGGAATCTGGTCACACAGGTTTGGGCAGGTATCTGAGGCAGCCACAAGCCTGGGTTTCTTTTTTTAAAAAACGTTTTTTTAAACTTTTTTTTTTTGGTCTTTTTGAGACAGGGTCTCCCTGTAGCCCCAGCTGACCTGGAACTCACTATGGAGACTAGGCTGGCCTCGAACTCACAGAGATCTGCCTGCCTCTGCCTCCGAGTGCTGGGATTAAAGGGGATTAAAGGCCACCGCACCCGGCTTTTTTTTTTTTTTTAACTTAAAAAAAATTTATTTATTATTTTCGTTTTATGTGTATGCATGTATTGCCTGCACATAGGTAAGTGCACCGTGTCGTGCAATCCAAAGAGACTGCCGGATTCCCTGGGACTGGAGTTTCAGGGTCTTCTGCAAGAACAACCAATGTTCTTAACTGCTGAGCCATCTCTCCAGCCCCAAGCCTGGGTTTCTAAAAGGGGCCACTAACCCTAATCTCAGCAGCCCCAACTATAGTTTCTTCCCGTGGCCCAAAGACAGTCCTCCTCTGGCCCCAGTTGGCCCCCAGGATATTCCAAGTTTGAAGACTAAATTTGGTATCTGAGATTGGGAGAAGACCTAGCTTATGTGGACAGGATGGTGACCCCACAAAGACATGTAGAACTTGGGAACATGGCCTCATGTGAAAAAAGTCTTTGCAAATGTGATTAAATGAAGGGTCTCAATATGAGGTCAACCTGGATTCAGGAAAGGCTCACATATGACAGATGTCCTTAGAAGAGGCAAAGATCTTTCCCTAGTATCCTAGTTGGTTATCCTACAGGAGACTTGGCCCATGTGTCTGACCAGTTCCCAGGCAGTGCTAGACCCCTGACATAGGCAGGTGCAGCTGCACACAACCCAGTAGAGGTAAGCATTGTTCTGGAGTGGGGATCAAGTCGTCCCCAATTCCTCTATGGCCCCAAAGCTCACCACCCTCTACACAGCAGCAGAGAAGTATACACACTGCCAGGGACCCACCAACCACTCAGAGGTCTGGGAGAAAACAGGTGTGGGGAAGAACCCCATATCCCTTCAAGAGC